TCAGGGCACAGGCCCGGGTTGCAGGCTCGATCCCCAGTGGGGGGAGTGCAGGAGATAGCCAATCCATGATTCTCTCTCATTGATGTCTCTCTCACTCTCTCTCCCCCTCTCCCTTCCTCTCTGACATCAACAAAAATATATTTTAAAAAAAGAGAGAGAAGAGTTACCCAGCAAGTTGCCCGAGAGGTTGACGGGCAGGATGACGCACAGGGACAAGAAGCTGACCACCGCCAGCAGGAAGATGATGTGTCTCTGGAAGGACAGGTAGTGGATGGCGTCCTCCCCGCACCACTCCAGGATCTGGTCGTCGCTGGTCAAGACACAGGCATGGGGTCCCGGTGAGCAGCAACCCCAGGCCGGCCCTCGGGGGCCCTGCACGGAGGGTCTCCTGTAACCCCTCCTGGTCACCCCTCGAGGGAGCTTCGAATTCCATCTCCATTTCTTAGCACAGCAGGAAACAGGCATGGAAAAGTGGCATAGCCCTAGCCCGGTGATGGCGAACCTATGACACACGCGTATCCTCTCTCATCATTGATGTTTCTATCCCTCAAACTCCACCATTGATACACCACATATTCATTCATTTGAATTACCCAGAGCAGGTGTCGGCCTCGGCACCTTTCTTATAGTTGGGGAAACTGAGGCCCGGAGAAAGGGACTTACCCACTGTCCTGAAACTACCATATTCCATCAATTCTACGCTGTCCTTCTCCTATTTCAACGAGCATAGCTGACCACGGCTTACTGGGCAGCGTTTCCTCATTCTTCGTGCTGTCTCAGATAATGTGCATCTTACAACAACCTGATGGCCACCGTGGCACCCAGACTCACAGCCTGGCTCCGTCCACTGCACTGGAGGTGACTGGCCAGCCCAGAGCACCCAGCGCCTCTTTTAGGATTTCTCGCCACAGGCTCCAAGTTTTGGGAAAAAATGAACACTTTTAACCCAATGAGCTGACTGTATCGAGCGATCACTAGTTCTCCACTTTTCACCAGTTTAAAGACACGTAGCACTGTCTAGAGGAGCTTCCCCTCAACTAGATCCACGTTAAATACTGAGGAGAGAGGATTCCCGCCTGAACCACAGCAGGAGCTATAATTGGCTGGTGCAGGAACTGCCTGGGACTCCTCTGTCCTCAGCCCCACGTACGGCTTTGAACCTGAACTGAAGGAAGTACCTAAGAGGCCCTTTCTCAAGGTCAGGCATCTGGGCTCTTTCCTCCTGATTGGCCAAACACTCAAATGCGCACACGCACATGCACACGCACTCGCACACGCACTCACACGCACACGCCGTACTCACTGGAGACGGAAGATCGCAGTAAGCCAGGGGCAGCATCCCTGGAAACAAAGAGATCGGGAATTAGCTTCGAGCGTGTCTGTCTTTGGGAGCAGATACAACCATCGTCTTTGACATTAATAACGAGCAAACCTTCTGCTGTATAAAAACAGCACTTTTGCCCCAAATTCAGCAAGCGACCCCTTGTCCCGAACAAGACAGAGTCCGCACGCTCCCAACCGTTCCCAATATGCACTACAGGCTTGGAATTCATTCTGTCTTCCTTTCTTCCTTTTTTACAAATGATTTCAGAGAGGAAGGGGGAGGGAGAAAGAGAGATAGAAACATCAGTGCTGAGAGAGAATCATGGACAGGCTGCCTCCTGCACGCCCCACACTGGGAATCGAGCCCGCAACTCGGGCACGTACCCCCTGACTGGAATCGAACCCAGAGCCTTTCCGTTCACAGGCCAATGCTCTATTCGCTGAGCCAAGCCAGCGAGGGTGCAAGCTTGGAATTCTTGCAAAACCCTCTCAAATTTGCCAATCTGTGGGATTACACATGTTCCGGGGTCAAATCATGAAACTCGAGTGAACAGCTGGTGAAACCTCAGGCCTGCTCTGGAGAAACTGCTGGGGGTCACTGTTTGTTTCCAAACGGCCGAGGGAAGCGTGGGACAAGAGCCTGGAGTGGGATCTAGAGAAGGAACAGGTGTCTGCAGCTTGGATCGTCCACTGACACTCTCTGAAGTGGATGGTTGCCCAGTGTGACCTGTCTTTGTTTGAAGACAAATATTTGTTCCTCATTCACTTGACAATTACTAAACAGCTCCTACCGGGTGTCAGGTGACGGGGCACAGTGCTGGGTAAGACACAGCTCCTGCTCACATTTGGCCCAGAGACTAGCAGGCAACTCAACAATTAACTGTCCCTGGCCAACGTGGCTCAGTTGGATGAGCATCATTCCACGCACTGGTAAGTTGCAGGTTCGATTCCCAGTCAGGGCACCTGCCTGGGTCATGGGCTCAATCCCCGGTCGGGTGCATATGAGAGGCAGCTGATCTCACATCAATGTTTCTCTTTCTCTCTCTCGCTCTAAAAATTAATAAAAACACATTTCTTAAGAAAGAAATAATAGCCCTAACTGGTTTTGCTCAGTGGATAGAGCCTGCGGACTGAAGGGTCCCAGGTTCGATTCCGGTCAAGGGCATGTACCTTGGTTGCGGGCACATCCCAGTAGGGAGTGTACAGGAGGCAGCTGCCCGGCGGCACCTCCCCCGTGGTCTGTTCCAAGTCCAGGCGACTGTCAGTGCAGAGAAGAGCTCTGACCCACACCCACCGCCGGGACGGGAGCACCGCCGCCCTCTCCCCGCTGGTTCATCGCCGCCGGCCTCCCCTGCCCACCAGGCGCCCCGCCGGCCACAGCCACCGCTGCCCCGAGATACCGACCAGATCACTCTCAAAATCCTGAGGCCCTTGGGAGGAAGACGATGACGACCTCTGGAATCTGGACTCGCTGGAAGCACAAACGGAAAAAAAATTCAAATACTTCTGTTTAAAAACCTAAAAACGCATCCCCCGTATCTTGCTGCCTCATGGAGCTCAGGACCAAAGCTACTAGCCCTCACCGGCTGGGGCGAAGCGTGACTCGCCCTGTGAGAAACACAGACACGGCGAGAGCCACTCCGAGCTGTCGGACAGAAAACTGCGGGGTCAGGACACACCCGGCCTCAGCACGAGGGCTGGTTTACCTAAAGTGACTTCAGCCGAAACCGGTTTGGCTCGGTGGATAGAGCGTCGGCCTGCGGACTGGGGGGTCCCAGGTTCGATTCCAGTCAAGGGCATGTACCTGGGTTGCGGGCACATCCCCAGTAGGGAGGTGTGCAGGAGGCAGCTGATCGATGTTTCTCTCTCATAGATGTTTCTAGCTCGCTCTCTCTCTCCCTTCCTCTCTGCAGAAAATCAATAAAATGTATTTTAAAAAATAAATAAATAAAATAAAGTGACTTCAAAACGGGGCCTGTTTGCAAGGTGTTTCCCACTGAGCAGACAACACTTGGCATGACATGCTGTATTTTATCATCAACTCTAAGATGCCACTGGTGTCAGGGGCATCATTTGTTTCTAGCTCGCTCTCTCTCTCCTTTCCTCTCTGTAGAAAATCAATAAAATGTATTTTAAAAAATAAATAAATAAAATAAAGTGACTTCAAAACGGGGCCTGTTTGCAAGGTGTTTCCCACAGAGCAGACAACACTTGGCATAACATGCTGTATTTTATCATCAACTCTAAGATGCCTCTGGTGTCAGGGGCATCATTATGAACCACGAAGAATGAAAAAATGCTACCAATTAAACTGTAACAAGCAATGATAACAAGCTGCCTTCCGATTTCAGAGACAAGAAAAGGCCAAAATGTGCATTTTTAAAGTTGCTAAAGTCTGGCATTTTAATATTTTTTTATTGATTTCCGAGAGGAAGTGGGGGAGAGGGAGAGAGAGATGGAAACATCAATGATGAGAGCGAATCATGGGTCAGCTGCCTCCTGCACACCCCCTGCTGGGGATGGAGCCTGCAACCAGGGCATGTGCCCTTGACCGGAATCAAACCCGGGACCCTTTAGTCCAAAGGCCGATGCTCTATCCACTGAGCCACACAAGCGAGGGCTGAACTCCGGCATGTTATATAGTGGGATTTTAGTCAGATCCCTTCTTCTGAGTAACCCACAAGAACACCGGTGCGCTATTTGGATTTTTGCTTCTGTTTCCCTACTCCTCGCTCCGCCCTCCCACTCCGAATGGCCTAAGACACAGTGGAACTTCACTTGGAACTCTCTCATTGGGCCTTCACGGTAAGCCTGCAGGGAACAGAGCGCAGGAGAAAACCCCCCAAAAAGTTTAGGGACTTGACCAAGATCACACAGCCAGGGGGCTGGCCAGGCCCCCTGATTTCCAAGTGCTCCACTGTCCTGTGGCGTTCAGCCCCTCCTCGGGGTGAATGTCCCCCAAAGCATCAGATATCCCAAAAGGCTCCCCCAAGAGTCTCAGGCTCCGACACAGCTGAAACCAGGGCCTCCCCCCCCACACTCACCCCAATACACCCTGACTGAGGCTTTTGCAAATGCCAGAGACTGTGGAGAAGGAAATGCATTTACACACACACCCCTCGCCCCTCCCACATTTCCACACGGGGCAGCCGGCGGGGCGAGAGCGGAGGGCCTGCCTGGTGATGACAGGGCAGGCGCTGGGGGGGCAGCCTGGGCCAGAGTGTGCCCCCCAGGACAGAAACTGGCTGAAGAACCTAGAGACAGAACCTGGCTACAGAACCTGGATAGAACATGGCAAGAGAACCTGACTAGAACCTGGAGACTGAAGCTGGCTGGAGAACCTGGAGAACCTAGCAAGAGAACATGGACACAGAACCTGGCTGGAGATCCAAACCAGAACTTCGCTGGAGATCCAGAGGAGAACCTAGTGAGAGAACTGAACCAGAACTTGGCTGGAGATCCTAGCTAGGCTGCTGATCAACTGAACGCTGTCTCCGTGTCATTCCTTCTTCGCCGACTCCGTCCACACCTTTGGGGACCCCTGGACCTGCTGGGGTTGGACCCCAACAAATCACTTCCCACTGACACAAGGACTGGGGTGGGTGGCAGCCAGCTGGCCCTGGAAGCGCCAGTGGTGCAGATGGAGAATTCAGGTCCCCCTCTGGGGGATGTGAGTGCGGAGCAGGCTCACCCGGGGCGGCTGAGTTAGGGCCATCGGCCAGCACGAAGCCAGGGGGAGGTCAGGGACCGTTCGTTCAGACACGGCCCCACCGCCCTGCGCAGGCAGCCCCAGCCCTCAGCGAACTCGTTGCGGAAGACGCACTTGACAATAGCCAGGGCGAGTCAGAAAGCCGGCATCCTCCTCCTGCTGATTTTGGAGCCCTAACTATCTGAAGGAACTCCGTTTCCTCCGCAGCCCGAAGCCAGTGAGGCCTGTGGCCACAGCCGGGCCGGAGCCCAGAGGGGACCGGGCGTGTGGGCCTTGGCTTTCTCACGAGGCTGACCTCGCGGGCCCGTGCCGCGGGCCGGACAGACGGCATCTGGTACCGGCCTGGCGGGCGTACACGGTGAACGTGATGTGATTCCAGCATCGTGGGTGGGTCCTGCCTGCTGGGCTTCCCATGCCCCCAGCCCATCCCAATGTCTGTCTGTCTGTCTCTCTCTCTCTCTGTCACACACACACACACACACACACACACACTGACATTCTAAGTAACATGACTCTTTTACCTGCCCACTTCTGACACCAGGGCAATGCGTCCGTAATCCCAGAATCTTCTCCTTATGATGGAAAACACCAATATTAAAAACTAAAAGTAGAAAAAGAAAGCAAGTGAAAGCACATTGGATGGCTTGTCAAGAGAAGAGACAGCTGTCTTAGGGGCCAAGCCCGCCTGCCTCGCGTCAGCGGGGCGCGACGGTGACCCACGCCCAGAGAGGGCACCGAGCTGCCCAGGGCCGCACAGCTCGAGGCTGTAATGCTGTGCCCGCTCACACACACACACACACACACACACACCCCCCAGGTCTTGCCACTTGTTCCCAAGTCACGAAGGCTGTCCGTGCTGCCGGTGAGCTTGCCCGGGCGCCCTCCTAGCCCAGCACGCGGGCCTGTCCGTGGCTGTGAAGGCAGCATCGGCAGCCGCGACCTCCCGAGGACTGAGCTGGCTCAGCGGCTCCTGGGCAGGGAGGTCTGGCCCCACAGCCGCCCTGGGGAGCCGCTTAATTTTTCTTCTTCACTTTACATAGAATGTCTTTCCCTTTTTTAAAAAAATCTATTTTTATTGATTTCACAGCCAATCAATGATTCTCTCACTCTTCATTGATGTTTCTATCTCTCTCTCCCTCTCCTTCTGAAATCAATTAAAAAAAATATTTTTTTAAAAAGAATTAGTCCCATTTTACAGAGCAGAAGCCTGAGGCCCAGACAAGCGACGTAATGTACCCAAGGCCACAGAGCCTGTCAGTGGCAGCGCTGCTGGGATAGAAAGCCAGGTCTGGCTCCTCCCCTGAGGTCCCCGGAAGGCCCCGGTGGGGTTTAAACAAACAAGTGACAGGGGGAAGCAGGATTCACAAAGGTCTTACCAGGAAGCAGCTGACGTCGATGAGCAGGACGACGGGGATGCCGCCGAAGGGGACGCCCTGGAGCACGGTGCTGTTTTTGGCCGAGTTGTAGCAGTAGGAGTCGTTGGGGTGCTCCCTGATGCCCAGCCGGTCCCGGGTGGACGCCGCCTTGGACTGCCACAGGTCCAGGAACGGGGAGTCGGTCATGGTGCCCATCACCCCTGAAGAACGGGACCCGGCAGGCGGTCAGAGCTCAGACTCTCCCATCGTTTCCCCGGCCAGGGCTGGCAGAGCCAACGGTGGGTGTCTCCTGGCTGGGGTGGGGGGTGGGGGGCACGGGGAGCCAGCAGCAAGGGGCCGGGGCGAGGAGACACCAGACCCCGCGTGCCAGGCAGAGTTTACGGAAAATAGCTCCATTGTGCGAACAGTCCCAAGGGTCCGATGGAGGGGGGATGGCTCCTGCAAGACACAGCTGGTACCCTCCCAGGTGGGGGGCACAGGACAAAAGGGAAGGACAGGCGCTGCGTATCTGCCTGTTTAGGGGGGGCCCACGGGCCTCCAGCCTCCAGGACTCCTGCTGGCAAGGTCATTCCTTCCTGGGGGAGCCCCTGGGAGCACCAGTGCAGGCCGGGGAGAGGATGGAGGGGGGCAAATAAGGAAGAGGGGGGCCCCCTAAGTAAGCTGCTGACCGTGGGAACCACGGGGGAGCCCCTGCTCCCACTGTTCATGGATGTCAGAGACAGGCCCATTCCCCACACTTGGAAACTGAGGCTCAGGGGCTTAACCACCTGCCCCAAGATCAAGGAACCGGTCCTGGCAGACGCGGGTCTCAGACCCAGACTCCTGACTCACACGGTCCTGCTCCCGCCCCAGCAGGCGGACAAGCTGGTAGCTCAGTGAGAGATGAAAGGCCTGGGAAGGGGCGGACAGAGGCAGACGTGGGACCGGAGAAGAGAGGGGCGGGGGTGGTCCAGGGAGAGGATACGGGGAGAGTCTCAGGACTTCCACAGGGACCCCCGAGGCACCCACGGAGCCCTCCCAGCTCCGCCCTCTGACCCCCACCCCCCTGAGGACCTTGGTCTCAGGGAAAGGCCTGACATGTCCAAAGCAAACACGGACAGCTCCGCGGGCGGCTGGCTGCTCCCTCCCTGGCTGCTGGGAACCCCGGCGAGGCTCATGAAAAGCTCCAGTGTTTGTCCCTGAGCCCGGAGGCCCAGAGCTAGAGCCCGCGTTCCGGCCTCCTTTCCAGGGACTGTGGTCGAGGAGCCGGGGACATACTCAGTACCGCTTCCTCCAGCTCCCCCTCCCCCCCCTCCCCAAAGCTGGTTAAACCAGATTCCCCAGGGCCTCTGCTTGGGCTGGTCTCTCCACCTGCCGCAGGGACCCCAAACACGCAGGGACCCCAAACACACAACGCTGGTGGACTGTGTGCTGGGTGGGGGTGATTCCCAGTTCTGACCCCTGGAACTGCTGGGCTGGGGACAATCCCACACAAAAGTGCAGGCAGGGTGTGTGTGGGGGGGGTGGGTAGGTGCGGGAGGTCAGGGGGTGCCTCCCAGGGTACGGAGACACTTTCTCCCCTATAAGAGCCGGAGGGAGGGTGTGGTGCCAGAACCATGGACGGGCAGACGCATGAGAGCTGTTCTGGGAGACAGATGGTCTTGGCTCCCCCCCTTCACACCCCGCCCCGTGGCACCAGCCCAACCACACCCCCAGCCAGATGCTGGGAGGCCAGCGCCTGCCCTGCCCCTGGCCCCACACTCACCGGACACCAGGGGAGGCACGGCCTGGGGATGAGCCCCTCGGAGAGGCCCTCAGGGGCAGCTGGCTCTGGCAAACAGAGTCTGGCTCAGCTGTAGCCTGTCCTGCCCGTCGCACACACTCATTTCCTGCAGGGTCTCCTGCCCGCAGGGCCACGGGCACCAGCCTGTGAGGGCTTTCCTGGAGGGACACAGACACCCGGCATGAGAAGCGGCCTTACCCGGCCCAGCTCTGGCCTGGGCCCCGCGGACACATGCCCTGGGGTCTCTGATTTCAAACACCCGCATGGACCCTGTGTCCTCCCGATGGGCGCCCTCCTGCCCTGGCCTCTCCCAGAACTGGTTCTAGGCCTGCGTTCCTCTGGGCCACCCCGCTCCCCACTCTCACCCCCACCTCCCCCTCCTCTCCTGTGGCTGGAGGCCCTGCTGGGGCCAGTGGTCTGCCCTGAGCTGTGGGGCTCATCTGGGCACCACGGGTGGCTGCTGCCAGGGACAGGGCAGAACAGACAAGGCAGGCTTGAGAGTGAAATGGTAAGACAAGAACAGCCTCATAAAATGCTCACAGAGGGAACACTGTCCCGGAGGAGCAGGGGGTGGGGAGGGGTGCCGCTGGCTGGGCTGGGCGGTACCAGGGGACAGCCCTCCCCAAGGCTGCTGCATGCTGAGTTTAGGGGAGCAGAGGCCCCAAGGGAGGAAGGCACTGTGGTTCCCCTTCTTCCTTGAGCCCCAGTCATGCCTCTCGGTCCATTTCCTCTTGTCAAACAGGATCCCTTGATAAGAAGGGCCCCGGAGGTCAGCCTGGGGCCTGGGACGGAGCTGGTCCCGCCAGCCCCTCCAGATGACGTGCCACTGAGCGCACAGCTGTGCAGGCCTCCAGTCTCCCCGCCTTTCAGCTCAGCTGTAGCCTGTCCTGCCCGTCACACACACAAAACCCAGCGTCTGCTGAAACATCATGGCCCCTCCAGGCAGGGGTGACAAGGGGGGCGGGGGGGAGGGGGAAAGAGGGGACTCAGTGGACGATCAAAAGGGAGCTGGCTCAGGAGCAGGGGCCAAGCCAGCAAGCAGGCCCCGTGGTCACAGGAGCCGTGCCTGGCCGCGACCTTCGCAATATCCAGCGATCTGATATTTGTTTGACAAGTGTATGCAAATGCCCAGCACTTATCCATGCCTCCTTGGCTCATTCCTAGCCAAGAGCCTGGAGGAGGAGATCCAAGAATTCCCGCTGAGCCAGGTGGGGAGCAGGGGACTCGCGCCCCCAACGCCAAGTTCAGCCCATGTCCCCCCACCCCC